TTTATATGATATTCTAGACTCGAAGAGGAGTTTTTCTGTGTGGTAGCTTCTCAATCTCCGCGCACAGCTTCCCATCCAGCTCCTTCTCGTATCGCTCCACGCTCGCATTGAACGACGTGACTTTCTTGGCTGCCGCTCGCCGGGGTGAGCTCTCGTCCGTGGTTGTGAAGCACCGGGTGTTCACGCTGGATTTGCTGCTCTTGATCAGCGTCGCTTGCTTAGATGAGGGCTTTGATGGGAATGTTGTAGCGCCATTTTCGCAAAAGCCACCACTGTTCTCGTCATTCTCAGCTCGCCGCTTCTCCTTCGCATTCTTCCTTGCCGCTTCCATGTCTTTGACATGGCCCTTGAATTCCTTGTGCACCACGTCCAGAACGACGTCTCCGTATCTATCGCACCAAGACCTGATAAAGTTTTCGCGCTGAATGTTAAAGCAAGCCAGGAGATTCTAAAGTGGAAGAACTTACTTTGGAAAGAAGCGCATCAGCTCGGACTTATCGGTCGGAAGCCGTGTTGCAATTGCATCTATTTGATCGTTCCTGTCAGCCATTTGCAACGAGTTAGCGTCATGATCATTAGTGCTAACTAGAAGTAAGAGTTCTTACGTGAATGTCTGAGTAGAGCTCGTCCTGTTGATCTCACTCCTTATATGCTCAAGCTCCTTTTTTATGTTTTCCCCAAGAACCTGGACCAACTTGGAGAGTTAATGACATTCAAACAAAGGGAGCTACGTACCTTGTCAATATAAAAGTCGGTAGAGACTCCCTTGGCTTGGAACTTCTTTTTAGAGCTAGCTTCGACGGGTGTTGCAGCCTTGTAAGGACATTCCAACGTAGACGCGAAGCCGTTCTTCTTAGAGCACGCTTCAGTGGATGCAGGAGCCTTTGCAGGACTTTCTATCTTGGACATCTTAGAGCATGCTTCGACTGGAGGCTTGGGAGAGCTTTCCATCGCAGAGAAGAAACCGTTCTTCTTTGAGGATGCTTCGGCAGACGCGGGAGCCTTGGAAGGACTTTCCATCGTCGTAGACACAAACCCGTTCTTTGAGCATGCTTTAGCAGATGCAGGAGCCTTAGGAGAGCTTTCCATCGTTGAAAAGAACCCGTTCTTCTGACTGCATGACTCGGCTGCCTTGGGAGAGCTTTCAATCGTAGAAAAGAACCCGTTCTTCTTAGAGCATGCCTCGGCTGAAGCGGGAGCCTTGGGAGAGCTTTCAATCGTCGAAAATAACCCGTTCTTCTTAGAGCATGCCTCGGCAGAAGCAGGAGCCTTGGGAGAGTTTCCAACCGTAGAGAAGAAACCGTTCTTCTTAGAGCATACTTCGACGGCCTTGGAAGAGCTTTCCATCGTGGACACGGAACCGCTTGGAGAGTGGAAGAGGGGCGACCCGCATTGATCCGAGGTGTCAAACTCTGGAGGATCCCTGGCCGGACAGTCTCTGGGCCTGATAAAGTCCAGTGCGTGAGGAACTCTTCTCTCGTTATTCTTCCCACTGTGCTTGCGACGAGTCATAGCTTCAAACAGGTGCTTCACCGGTGACTTGCTCTTCGCTACTCTTTGCATTGCCTCGTCCTTTAGCTTCTCCCGAGGGTCATCTCCTGTTGACTCTGCGTTCTTCATCCTTGATCTCACAGGTGAAGTTGGAGCACTGGCGGTGGCTGCCGAGCACGACAGGACAATGTCACTAGCATTGATCTCCGCCCCCTGAGCTGCTAGCCTGTAAAGAAGCGACTTCTTCACCCCGTGATACTCTTCCTCCGAGATGCATCGAGCGTACAGAAGCTCCTACAAGTGGAAAGACATCACGTAAGTAAGATCATCGAAGAACTCCATCAAGAAAAAAACTATACGATCACGCACTCTTACGAACTTCAGAACAATGAAAAGTACCTGGAGGAACAGAAGCTTGTCTCTCGTGACCTGGGGGTACTCGCCTCCATCGTAGCAAACATCGATGTTGTCCAGTATCTTCTGGCGAAAGGACGCGACATCCGATTCACTGACCAGTCCCTCTTGGAACAAACCCTTCATGTTGACAAGCCGGAGGAACATATCCTGCTGCCACTTGAGATTCTCTGCCTGTTGGTGGCTCGCCCTCCTCTCGGCAAGGCCAGGCGTCCATCCCGCGGCATTGTGCCTGGACGACGAGCATCGCCGCAACGCCGGGACGAAGTTCCGATAGATTTCCATGGCGCTGTCCTAGAAATCCAAAACACTGAGCGGATGGATCCCGGCTAGAGCGAAGGGAATACCTGGATCGCCTTGAATGAATTGCCGCCGCCTCCTCTTACCGACATTGTTGCGCGCTGCTCGGAGACAAAGATTTTGCAGGTGATGCCGATGCGCCGCGGCTGACGATCGATCGCCTGGAACCCTAGCTCAGCGCCTTCGGTTCATACGAATCAATCCTTCTTCTCCTCTCTATTCGCGAGGGTTTCCAAAATATGAGCTTTGCGGTCCAACGGTCATCCCCATCGCAGCCGTCAACAAACCAACGGCCCAGATCTAGATCTTAGATTCCGGAATCAGAGCTTGTCCGCTAGCGCGGAAAAACACTACTTAAAGACAAAAATCTGAATATTCTTTCTTTAGTATACACCAACCAAAGTTCGAACAACGAAGAACACAATCCCATGATCTTCGAGACAATTGAAAATTAAAGAGAAAGAGAAAGAGAGATAGAACGAGAGAGTCATCCAAAAGATAGCTAGAGAGAAAAATAAAGATCGAGACGAAAGAACCTCCAGAGTGTGTAGTGTAATCTTAAAACTTTCCTTCTCGCCACCACCAGCACCACCACGAAATTCACGCTTCCTTCTCGTCGATGCTGGGCTTGATGTAAGGAAGAAGCCCGAAAAAATGCCGCAGCTCTCCAATTGCTAAGCTCTAAAAACTGTAAGAACTGATAGGGTTCCTGTCGCCCATTTGCAATTGAGTCCGCGTCATGATCATAGAAATGACAGTTCTTACGTGAATGTGTAAGTGGAGTTCGTCCTGAGTAGAGCTCGTCAATCAAAGTCCAAGTTCGCTCGCTCGCGAGGAGCCGGAAACCCATGGATTAGCCGCGGAAGTGGCTGGATCTCCCTTGCATCGCAAAAGCTATAGCTCAAGGGTGGCGAGATGATCATGCCTCGCCCGTTTTAAGACTGTTTGAAATTCTAGACTCGAAGAGGAGTTTTTCTGTGTGGTAGCTTCTCAATCTCCGCGCATAGCTTCCCGTCCAGCTCCCTCTCGGATTGCTCCACGCTCGCATTGAACGACGTGACTTTGTTTGGCCGGGGTGAGCTCTCGTCCGTGCTTGTGAAGCACCGGGTGTTCACGCTGGATTTGCTGCTCATTTGCTTAGATGTGATGGCATTGTTGTGGCGTCGTTCTCGCGACTGTTCCCAGATCGCCGCTTTCTGCTTCGCATTCTTGCTTGCCGCTTCCATGTCTTT